TGACCAAAGGGTCTTAAACGCAGGAAGCTGACATCAAAAGCACAAGGATGTGTCTGTAATAAAAGACTACAGCCCCCCATCTAGAACCTCGAGAACCTGGGGAGGGGAGGACAGAAAGAATTCCTTTCACAGAATTAAAACAATGTACAAATGGTAAACATAAAAATGACAAACATTTAACAATTCACCCTAACATGCAGATTAATGTATTTATTTTGTTATTAATTGTGTGTATAATGACGTGATATGAGAGAAACCAGATCAGAAGTACGTTGTTGTTGTTATTAAAGTGCCGTCCGTTAAATGAAGAATCAAGGATTTTTTTTAAAATAATAAAGTTATAATTGGAGTTACTCAATGAATCGTGCTGCCTGCCTCTTTAAAACTGTGGATGATGACGAGCTCAGAACACAAGGGGAAGTAAGAGGTGCGGCCTGCCTCTGGATGTTGTAGTTTCACCATACGAGTCTGAGTTACCTTCTCCTAAACAGGAGGTGAGAGGTCATTTTTGAACTGTACAAACACTCCCAGGTTTCCTTGTGGAGATCAGGTAGGGACATTCCTCTGACCTCATTTCCTGGTGTAACGCTTTCTGTTGTCCCCTCAGATGTGCCCCTGTGGTCGAAGCTTCAGTCTGGTTACGTCCCGAACATCCAGGAAATGTTTCAGATCCTCGACAACCACATGAAGATGAACCAGGTGGATCACATGACCTTCACCTCCACTTAGAGCTGCAGGTGAATGCACATCAAGTTAACTGCACACAGTGACGAGACTCACAGGAAGTTTGTGTGAACTCGGCAGGTGCGATCAGATTATCAGCTTAACCTATCTGTTAGATTTTCCTTGTACTGATGCACGGAGAAACACCTGACAGGTACAGACTCACCTGTGACTCCAAAGACTGAATTTAGTCAATTTAAGAGGAAGAAAAATTCGGCCCAGTCAGTCCAGAGATGGGTGTGACACCGAGACAGGTGAGGCAGAGGCGGGGCCAGAGTTTGATTTACAGAAAGAAACATTTCTTTAAGTGCTTCAGGGAGTATGTTTTGTGAGATGGTCTCAGCTGTGCTGTATTCAGGTGTGTCTCTCTCTCATTACCTGTTCTGTGTCCAGTTGCTCCGGCTTGCTAGGCATTCTCCTGATGGCGTTCATGAAGGGCGGGCCTTAAAACATATTCTGAAGGGCCCGGCTGGATGTTCCTCGCCATGAACTGAGCACTCCCTCTGCACCGGCTCACCTTCAGCACTACAATACCAGAAAGCACTGCTGGCAGCCTTGTGCTAATTAGCATGTAGACAGGAAGTAGATGGCTGTTTGTGTGAAGCTTTTATTGTGAAAATAAAATGTTCAGTTCTGTTTCCTGCCTGTTTGTGGTTTTGCAGGTAAATGCACATGTGCATGCAGATCGAGCCTTTTATTCACAGCATGTTTTCAGTGTGGCTCATTTATGACCATAGAAGCAGCCATGACATCCCAGAATTCATAGCAATGCACTTTCACTCCAGGAAAAGAAACCTTGAAGATGGCTGACAAACTCAGGTGATAGATAGGTATGACTGACACAACTGATTCCTGTCAGGACCTCGTCAGAGGCTTGCTGTGATCAGGCAGGATTCACATGGCTTCATTTTTACTTCAGTCACAGAAAGTCTGGGAGGGGGTAGGAACTCCAGGCCTCGAGGGGCTGCAGGTTTTAGATCTTGGTACACCCGAATCAAATGATTACTTCATTAACAGGCCTCTGGAGAACTTCAAGACATGTTGAGGTCATTTAGCCATTTAAATCAGCAGACACGTCTAAAACCTGCAGGACGTTGAGGCCTGGAGTTCCCCACCCCTGCTCTAGATTGCGTCTGCAGCAGGAACGTAGCAGAATGATTTTGGGGTTTTTTCATTTTACAGTTTTTATGTCTAATGAGGACAGTTTCACCTGTTCTCATTTATGTGACCTGCTGGAACATGCCAACATCAGTGAGGTGAAGTGAGTTTAGTTTGTGGATGGGAATATGATCTGTCTCATGGACGCTGTTTCCATCACAGTGTTACTGAGTCCACAGAGCAACAAACTCCACAAATGCTCCTTTTTTTGTCACCTTTTTTATCAGATGACATTAAAAGTGGTGAAATGAGGTCATTTCTGCACTGAATCCAAAGAGGCCACAAAGGTGGAGCAGGCATGTGGTGATGATGTGAGCTGATCATCACTTCCTGTTTGGAGACATGAATCATCTGAAATGTGAAGGTTCATCTCCAGGCTCTTTGTGACGGGTCTGGATTTTCCTACATCTGAGTTTCAATGGTTCAGGTAGACTGAGCGGGTCGGGCTTGACACAGTGGAAAGGTTCCTTGTGTCTCTGAGTTTTAGTATCCTCATCAGTAACTACAAACAAAATAAATACAGTCATGTTTAAAATAAAACAAGATAAATGTCCCAGGTCAGGTTCTCCTTTCAGGTGTTACTAATCCAATCCAATGTAACTTTGAGGTGAATATAGTTTGATTTCAGCGACTGACTGAGTTATTTAAACAGTTTCATTTGAATGTCCTGTTTTTTTATAGCCTTTTTCCCTGCAGTAACCACACAGTACTTTTACTGGAGTACTTTGAAGTACATGTCAGGTAGTTCAGTCTGAGTACATAAAATAAACTGTAAACAAAACCATAAAGATATACAAAAAGGTCTTCCCTTCAATCAGTGGACGCTGCGATGCACGCGTGAGGCAGCAGGGGGCGCCATTGAGCCGGCGTTTCTGAACACTTCCGGTACAAAAGAAGCGGCTGTGAGACGAACAGTAGCTAACGGTAGCCTCTGCAGTACGTTTATTCGACTTAATTATTTTTTTTACTCTACTAAAATGTTTGAGGCCGGAAATCTGTCGCTGACACACACGCGAGCTTCACGCTAACGGTAGGAACCACAGTGACGAAGAGAGAGGTGCTAACGACTAAAAGTGAACTGCTAAGAGGAGCAGTGACGGTGACAGCGGAAGCTAACAGTTTATTGCTAACAGTAAGTAAAGTTTAAGCTCAACTGCACACATGTCACGTTTAAAGTATCGGTGCGTCTGAATCTACTGTTTAAATCTTGAAGAGCCAGGCCGTGTTTCTAATTCTTGTAAAGATAAAACTCCATCATCATCGGTGACAGCAGGGTCACTGGGTCACCAGAAGCGTTTCTTTCGGCTCCTGGTGACCTTAGTGTGATCCCTGTAGCTCCACGAGTTTAGCTGGTCCTGGCTTTATGCATCAGGCTCAGATTAGGAACTCTTGACTTTCTGAACAGAGACGAAGCAGCTTCTGGTACGGAGAAAAGGTGCGAGTTTCAAAGGTCCCTCCTGTTTCCTTTTCCTAACCTCTTTTACTTGCCCTCGGTGGAAGGATCATTGAGGTAAAGGAAAGGTGGGTAGGAGACGTACGCTGAGGAAAGGAACGGCCTCACACTCGTTTCTTTTAACAGCGTGACACTGCAGAACATGGACTACAGATTTATTTTCTTTCATCCAGATCTCTTTTATCTAAATTCCATCGCTGTTTTTAGAGAAAAAAAAAGAGTAAAACCTGAGTTTGCGCTGGGTTATTTTGGTTAGCAGCCTTCACGCTTCCTCCTTGGGAGTCACTAATTCAGCTGCTTCTGCTACCTCACAGAGTAAATTTGTCCCATTGCATATAATATCCAGATGCTGCTGTCGCAGCACCTTTTGAGGAGGAATTCTGCGACTGCATTAAATTTCCTCTATCACCACTGATTCCAGCTGACCTGAAGTAAACACAAACCCTACAGTACAACAACAAAGGACATCATTAATGAACACTGATCATACAGAACTTTGAGCATACTTTGTTCATATAGATCAGGGGTAGGCAATGCCAGGCCTCGAGTGCCGGTGTGCTGCAGGTTTTAGATCTCACCCTGGGTCAACACACCTGAATCAAATGATTAGTTCATTACCAGACCCCTGGAGAACTTCAAGACATGTTGAGGAGGTAATTTAGCCATTTGAATCAGCTGTGTTTGATCAAGGACACATCTAAAACCTGCAGGACACCGGCACTCGAGGCCTGGAGTTGCCTACCCCTGATATAGATCATAATTTTAGCTCGTACAGCATTCTTTGTGCAACAGTACCTCAACAGGAAGTAGTTTTTATTCCAGCAGTGTGATGCTCAGCTGTGAGTTTAACCGCTGCTGTTCAAAACTATAAATCTATCAGCGGGGTATGGATGAAATGGAAAATGGAGTCAGAAGGAACATTTACATGATCCACTTTGGTCATGTTTGTTTTCATGCGTAGTCAGATGTTTTTTCCCCTCCCCTTTCATAAAGGATGCTCCAGCATCTCTTATGCTAAAGGAAGCAAGATACCTGTTCCCCTATGAACAAGGATCAGATGGATTCATACACACCTGGCTGAGGTGTGTATGAAACGTGTGGGACTCTGTTCTTCCATGTTTATTTAGTTTTATTTTCTTAAATCTCACAGCATGGATTCATTAAAAGAATTACCGAGGGTTGTTACTGATTGGCTGCAGGGTATCGTCACAGGTGGATCAAAGCAGACTGATTCATGTCTAAAACTGACAATCAATAACACTCCAGCTGTTACAGGTGCAGGTACCTGAGCTGTTTCTCTGGTCTCCATCCTCACCTGTGCCGTGAAGGTGAATCATTAAGTCAGAGATGAGCAGCTCTGTAAGTCATCTTCTTCTTCTGTGGTTTAACCTGTTCAGCTGTCACACTGTCAGCTGGTGTTTACTTGGTCAAGTGTGTTAAGCTCCACCTCCTGCTGTTCTGTTTTCAGGTTCAGAGGAAGAGGCGGAGCACACAAAGTCCTCCGGTTTCTAGACACAATGCCAAGAGCAGGAGAGCTGCGAGTACCAGGAGGACGGCGAACGCCGACAGTGATCCCACCCCCCCAACAGAGACCATTGATGTGATGGACGGTCAGTCCCGATCAGTACACTCAGTTTCCGACTGATCGAACAGTCATTGATAGGCCTGCATCTACAGGTGTTTTCAGACCAGACCTGACTCATCTAGACACACTCAACCTCTCGGCCAATCAGAGAGCTGCTTCTTTTCGAGGTAAAACTGAAGGGAAAAACATGTTCAGACCTCACTGGAACCGATGTAAGTAGCAGGTCCTCACTGCTAAGAGAAATAAACATACCTGAGCTGTTTGCTGAAGGTGACCTCCCACACCTGAAAATACAGTCAGTGGGTTTCCTGGTGTCTCCTGATCACTGACACACCTGCAGCCCAGAGGAAACAAAATCCACCTGACAGTTAGAAATTCATCAGAGGTGTGATTAACACTTAACTTTAACACCTGAAACTCGCGACCACACGTCTGACACACAGGTGACCAAAAACGGGACAGTCACAGCTCTGTGGGGGACCTCTCTGCTCCTTAAAGTCGTTCGTGCTGGGCACCGCCAAATGGAGCCACTTTGGGTATTAAGAACCACAAGCTGGCCACAAGAATCCAGATGTTTGACAGTGTTCATGCCCATTTATCTCGATCTGTTTACCTGATTATTGGTTATCGATAAAATCACCAGACTTGGAGATGAAACACTTTGATCGTAAAGATGGAGCCGCGTTACATCACTGATGTTGGGTAACGTTGAGAATGATGAATGGTTGAATCTTCTCATCTGCTTCGCTTGGACTGCTCGCCTCCTTTTTTTTTTTCTTTTCTTTTTTTTTTAAAATTATCTGACTGATGCAGGCGTACAGTGAATCCATTTCATCGCCACGCTGTGACACCGTTGGATGGAGACGGTGCCGCATGTCAGGCTAACACAGGCTCCTCCCCTCTGTGTAAGTGTGGGCAGAGCATCTACACGAATCTGAGTTTGTGGTTGTGTGTATTCAGGTGAGGAGGAGGTGGTCGTGGATCTCACCTGTGAGAGTGGAGCAGAAGCTGCTGTGGTCGACCTGACTACCAACAATGACTCTGTGCTGGTAACTCTCTCTCTCTCACTCACACACACACACACACACAGAGGAAGTGTGCTAATGTCTAATTCTTCTTCTGTGTTTGTTTTTTTTTGTTTTTCCTGCTGTATCCACAACTTCAGCTGGTGGATGAGGGTAAGTCAGACTTTGTGTTCCAAAGACTAGATTGAGGCCTGAGCTCTCACTAAGGAAGCGGTCTAATGCCTGTGTGACTGTTTTCACTCAGGTTCTCAGAACTGGAGACCACCTGTACAGAGTTATCTTGTTAGCAGCGATGAAGATGAAGACACACCCCCCGTCCTCAGTGCCACCCTCCTGCCACCGACAAACACCTCCAGGTGATACACCAACCCCTACACACTTATGCAGGTGATACACTGACCCTGTCAGTGACCTCACTCAAATGTTTTTGTGTTTCAGGTCAACTCCAGGGACAATCAGCTGTCCTGTGTGTCTGGACGGATACTCAGAGGTCAGTCGTGTGTGTGTGTGTGTGTGTGTGTGTGTGTGTGGACTGTTCAGCATGAATAAAGCAGAAAAATGAACTTTATTGACACAGAGTGCCAGCAGCGAGGTTCTTTCTTTATCCTGCTGCACATGCTCAGTGTGAGCTCCGAGGACGCTTCCTTCAGGGTGAGCGTGCTCAGAAAGTCTACAAACATAACATCCCTATAGAATATGATGTAACACTATAGATCAACTTACCTCAGAATATATAAAGCGTATAAACAATTACAACAATATGATGCAACAAACACAGCAGTACTACTAATCCAAAATACTCAAAGCTTCATAGAACTGAAACAAACATTTATTTTTAGCTCCATTCTGCTTCTGATACCTACTTTAGGTTTCTGAATATTAAACTTGTTGCTGCCTTTCATAGTGTGTAACTTGAAGGCCCTGAGTACTTTCTCCCACACTGAAAACACTGGGATGATCAAATTATTTGAACATTACCTAATAAGACTCATGATTCAGGACAGACAGTTAGTTATGTTAAACTTTTCTAGCAGTCCTTCACAAACAGGGAACAGTCTGTCTATTCTCTCCATCTGTCAGCTGCTGCTGGCTCTTCCTCCTCCTCCTCTTCCTCACACACTGCTGAGTTTGTCCTGGTGGATCATCAGGGGTGCAAAGCCTCACAGATGATGTGCAGCAGTGGGTCCCTCAGTCTGTCCTCACTCTGGACACTTGCAGTTGTCACACATGGAAGCCAAATGTGTGATAAGCTGCAGGATTCAAACTTATAAATACATGTTCATACTTTTATTACACAATCAGAGAGAAAGAAACGGAGAGAGAGTGCAGGACAGACAGACAGGTGACAGTCTCACACTGCTACACAACAGCACAAGAGAAGGAGGATTTAGTGTTTGTGTTATTACGAGTGCTAAACAAGAAGAGTTCCCAGATGGTACAGTGGACACATGTGACTGCTGTGATTAAAGCATCTTTCTTTCAGCTTAATGAGTGAAGTCGGCTCGTTCAAACACACGTTAAAGTCCGTTTGGCTCGACACCACCGAACAGAGGCAGCAATATAACATAGTTAACATTAACAGTGCAGTGAATCCTGCTTGTGCTGTGATATTCAGGACTGCAAACCGAGCAGCATTCACTAGCTGTGTCCCAAAACCTAGGCCGTATCCTCCTGAGGCGGAATTTGAACGACGTGAGGTAGGCTGTCCCAAATTGAAGGCTCCTCCAAATGCGTCCTTCATTTTCCCAGATTTTGAAGGATGGGTTGGGTGTGTCCTTCGTGGCCCACTGTATCCCAGAATTCATATCGCGGCCCAGTCAATTCCAGTTGCCAATAATGGCGGCCGCTACTTAGTTTTAATATTACTCTTATTAATCTTTCTGGGTCACAAAATAAACTTTTAAAATATTTTCAGGCGAGAAAGTAGCTGTGTAAAGTTCAAATATCTGCTTTATCAAGATATCGCATATTTGCAAAAGTGCAACGTTTTTGGAGATGTCTGTTACCCGCTAGCCGGGAGGTTGAGGCTCACTAGAGAATAGCGGACACCCGGCACATCGTTATCAGACCTGCCGCCGTCTTTGGCTTCTCAGGTTAAACATGGTGTGTGCGTGCGTGCGTGTATACACGTGTGCGTGCGTGTATACACGTGTATATGTGTATAATATGAGGGATGGGTACCGGTATCCGGTGCCATGATGGCACTGGTTCTGACATAAACGGTAGTAACCACACCGAAAAGCAGCGCACATTTCGGTGCTTTTTTTTCCTGAGATGTCATACACTTTAGACTCTTTTTCTCCAATTAATCTTTCTGAGTTAACTTCAATAATTACTTCCTCCAAACCATCAACGTGTCTTTTAGACCCCATTCCTACAAAACTGCTCAAAGAAG